GGTTTGCTGTGGAAGCGGGTCGTGAGGGGGAATGGGGGGGTGGGGTGGGGGTGGGGATGGAGGCGAGGCGACGGCGTCTGCAGGACCGGAGAGTGCCAGGCAGCGTACTCCGGATCAGAGCGCTTCGAAGAGGATGTCCACCCCTCCGCCGGAGGCGCATCAGCTGCATGTCCGCGAAACGTGGAAAGAGAAGGGTGATGTGGTGGACCTTGGCAGCGAAGACGACGAGCCTTTGGAGAGACGTCGCCTGCGCAGTGCAACGCAAGCGACCACAGTGGCGGTGTCGACGGCTCGCGCTGCGGACGACGAAAGGCCAATCACAGGTGCACTGCCGTGCACGCTGTCTCAGCCGCGTCAACGCAACGACGGTGGTGACGGTGCGTCTCGCCAACGAGGTGGTGGTGGGGGAGTCGTGGCAGACACGCGTGCAGCAGGAGGGTAGGCGGCAGGTGGCGCGGGTGTGGCTGTTGCAGCAGGAGGGGAGGCGGCAGGTGGCGCGGGTGTCGCCGAACGCTGTTCGCATCCACATCCCACAGAAGGTTCTCGTCAAAGTCGATCCCCGCGTCCAGGAGGATATTGTGGAGAGTGCAGACAACCACGAATTGACGTGGCAAGGTCTCTAGGTTCGTCTTATGGGTGCGCAAGAACAGACGCCACATGCACTTGAGTCGGCCGAATGCCCTCTCCACACACCCCCGTGCCACCTTTTGTCGCGTGTCGAAGCGCTCCTCGTCAGCACCTTGGTCGATTCCTCCGTACGGTGACACAATCCACAGACAGGCAACTGGATAACCGTTGTCGCCCAGCAGGTAGCCTCGCGTGACGACACCATGCGGCAGATTCTTCGGAGTTGCGTCGAACAGCTCGCCACTTTCTGCACGCCTAAACAACGGGGAATTGTGCAGGACACGGACGCCGTGCACACTTCCAGGGTATCCGACGTGGACGTCGAGGATCCGCAAATCCAAATCCACAACGACCTGCGCCTGCACAGAGAACTTCTGTTTGCGGTCGTAGTAGTTCTCGGAAGGTGCGCCGGCGGGCTTGTCAATGTAGATGTGTGTATAGTCGATAGCGCCGAAGCAGTTTGGGAAACCCTTCTCACGGAAAGCGCGTAGAATCGGTGCACGTCTCCTGCCCATTGGCCACTTTATCGCGTCGGGGTACGCCTGCAGCAGCCTCGAAGTGACGTCGCGGACGGCCTGCAGTCCAGTTGCCCTGCCGATGCCAAATGCTGACGTGCCGCTCTCGTACGTCTCTCCGAACGCCCACCTGTATAACGCGAAAGCAATCATCTGCTCCACTGGTAATGGCATTCGATAGTGTGTCACCTTCTTCTCCATGTACGCGGCGCACGCGGCTATGATATGATTGAACATGGCCATCGACATGCGTAGCTTCTGCCGGAAGTACTCGTCCGTCGCGTCGTCCCGAAGCCGGAGGTCCTCCCATGTCCCGCCAGTCCGTCGTTTGATCCACCATCGCAGAGTCTGCCGCGGGAAAACACCAGACGTCACCGCGGCACACAACTGGACGACTGCCTCACACGTCGCCACGCAATCCGGCGCCTCTGCAACGCTCTGCAACAGCGGTCTTCGTTGTCGGAGCCGCGTCAGCATGTTACGCGACGAGCACTCCTTGTCGCTCATCGTGTTCACGACGACGGCAGTCATCGCCATCGCCACTGCGTCGATCTCTTCGTCGTGTAGACCGTTTGAACAGCCATGACTGTCCATCTCTGCCAATCCTCGAACGGTTTACCACGTCACGCCTTCGACAGCTGCCTCAGACATGCCCGCCGCGGAACCCTGCCGTCGTAGAGAAACAATGCCGGAGTCCACGATGGCAACGCTGCTGTGCAATGGCACACGAGACGGACACGCGTCTGGTGCTCCACGCTTCCAAAGGACGGTACGTACGTCGGAGGCGAACGTGCGGCTCACACGATCATGCGCACGCTCCTCGCAAGTTGCGTACACTCGAAAGATGGATTCCGCGCGGCGAACGGCAAGGAGGCGCCGTATTTTTCAAGTCACACGCGTCGGCAGGGAGGCGCCGTCTTTTTCACGGCGCACGCATCCGCGAGATTTCGAATTCAAAATTTTGAAGTTATGGGGAACCGCGCTTTTCACCGATCCGTCGACTCCCGCCCAAGGCCCACCGCATTCTGTACCACGGACACCGCCGAGGAATGGACGGACATCGGCGGCGCGGCTGTGTATACGCGTATGAAAACGGGCCGCGGGAAACCTTTTAGGACGAGTCCTAAAAGATGATTTTTAGGACTGCGTATAACGATGCCGCACGAAATCCTAAAAAAACTTTAGGACTCGTCCTAAAAATTTTAGGATTCTTTTAGGAGTGTCTAACGAGACCCTTAATTTCAAAAATATTGCTTTTTCGAAGTTTGGCAGCAAAAATGTCGTCCGCTCGAAGTTTCCTTTGCAAAAATAGAGGTTTGGTTGCAGCTTTATCGGGTTCCCGTGGTCTCGGCCCACATGCGCCTTGTAGTTTAGTTTTTTACAACTGTGTGACGCCAAAAGGCGGGAAAAGAAGGTTGAATAAAGTTCTTATTTGATTTCATTCATCTAGTGTCATTAAGAATTGAACTCAGAGCGGCGTTAGCGGGCGAAGTAGCGTTAGCGCTCCGCTGAAGGCCGTCGCCCGACGCGGGTAGCGCGTTGGGCGCTACCGGGCCATGTTCCCCGCCGTTGAGACGGGTTACGGAGTACGCGCCGTGCTCTCCCTTTTCGGGGGAGGGGCTATGCCCGCTCGCGGTTGTTGTCTCCTTGGTAGTCCCGTAGTGTAAGGTAGGGATAGGTGTAACTTGGCTATGGTAATTCGGCGATGGTAACTCGGAGAGGTGGGAGGGTGCATCAGACACCGGGTAACTGGGCTATGGCAACTCGAAAACTTAGGGACGCCCGGAAAAGGTGGAGCACAGGAGTAGGAAGGGGGAAACTATCGGTGACCATGAGGAATCGAGTGATAGTCGGAAGTGACGGTGGCCTTCCGCATTAGGTTACCGCCGGAGTAAAGTTGAGCACGGGAGGTGTTCCCTGAGGCAATGCTTACCATGGCGCCTTCGCACACTCAATCGTCATGAGAATCCTTCGTCGAAGAGACTCGAATACGTCACCGAATTACCAGGATAAGGAAACCGACTTAAAAAAGTGTTTCATTTTAGGTCGGGAAGATGAGGGAACTTAGGGAAGGCGCCGAGGACAGGAAGGAGGAGTGAGATCGCTATTCGTCAGACGAAGTCGACTACTCATGGAGAAAGTAGATGTATGAGTTAAACTGGTCGAGAGGCAGGATTATTCCAAATCGTATGAATTGGGCCGCCCATCGGGCCGGATTCATCTCCACCAAGCACGAGTAATAAAATGTCGTTGCTCAAGGTCGAAGTGAGAGTGGGCGGGAGAGAGACTAATGGTGAGAAGTGAGAAGTACCTGGGAAGAGGCGATTTCGTGGAAATTGATTTTTCATAGTAATTCCGGGTGCCACCAGAAGCGCCAGCAGGCAGTAGCCCAGGCGGTCCCGGTGATGCATCTGCGGCTGTAGAATTGGCTCTTTTGTTACTAGACGGACGTGTTTCTAATGTGTTTCATATAGCAAATCCGGCTGCGAACTCGACTGTTGGTAGCTGTCGATGAAGTGGAAGCAAGTAGAAAGTAGATAGGAGAAGGTAAGGTACGAGCAAATTGCAAATACGGTTGTGGACTCGGCTACAAGCAGCTGCCGATGCAGCGGAAGCAAGCAGTTAGTAGAAGGGAAGCTACGACGGTCGGTGAAGAAAGGTTGTTCCTTCCTGTTGATTGTTACGCACTCAGTATTGTGGAATTCCTAATTTCCCAGTCCGTTTCTCTTGCTGAGTTTGGACGCTCACCTGGTCAGATTCATCCTCACCCAGCTTGTGTAGTATAATTCTGGTGCACATGGCCGAGGGGAGTGAGAGCCAGAGAGAGATTAGAAGGGAGAAAAACTTGGTAAGCTGCGTATTCGAGATAATCGAGGTGCCGTAAGATCTCCGTTTGTCACCAGAAACGCCAGCAGGTAGCAGCCCGGGCTGGTCCGCTGTTACATCTCCTGCTGCTGAGCAGGCTCCTTTAGTACGGTTTGGGTGACTGTTTGTATGGTTTGCAAATTGCAATTATGGTCGCGTACTCGGCCATTGGCAGTTGCCGATGCAGCGAAAGCAAGTAGTTAGGAAAAGGGAACGTATGATTCTTGTGAAGATGGTCTGATCCCGTCTATTGTATGTTGCATATTCGTCATTGGGGAAATCCTAATCTCCGCCTCCATTTCTCTTACTACCCAAGGAAGTTTTTGGTACGGCAGTAGCCATACAGGGTAAACATGCCGGTAGATTCCTCGGGGTAATTCGCAAGCAGATCCGGTCGCCCGTGAGTGAGGCCAGTTGCACCTCCTGCAGTAGAAAAAATATTTCTCCCCGTTATTCTAGACGCCAGCTCAGACCAGGGGAGGGGAGGGGAGGGACGAGATGGCAGGGGTTCCCAGTCATGTAGAAGCTCAGCAACACCCAAACCCCCTTGCTACCGACGTGAATCGTTCTTGAGTACGGGCTTCGGTGACTAGATGCTATGATGAGGGGGTATGCCCTGATGACTTTTCCTTAGGTGAGGTGATTGAAGACGGGGAAGAGAAACGGTTTGTGGTGAAGGGCTTGGTTAACGAGGTGAAAGACGAATTCCTAAAGGAGAGGTCTGTTCTAGTTATTTTCCAAGGGGAAGCTCGCAATTTGGCAAGATCAGTCAAGGAGGATTTGATACGAGCGTACGAGGACGGGTGGACAGCCAGGAGACTGTTCGATCCAGGGCTCAGACGGGGTCGAGTAAAGTTTGACAGCCCAAATGTTGCCTCCTATATGGCAAAGGCGAAAGAAATTGCACAGTGGTTACTACGGGAAGGTGAACTGAAGATCAAGCTGGAACAGAAGGAATACATGGTCCAGTTCAAGCCTCGCCTGACCAAGCAGGAGATGCAAAACGTACGGATACAAGAAGCAGCAATGAAGTTCTGGATTATGGCATTAAGGGTCCCTCTTAATGCATACTACTATCCGTTGAGCGCAGTCAAGTGGATTTTTGGGGAGGTCATTGCAATGCACAATCCAGAATACGACAGAGACAGGCCAAAGCTGATGAACGTGAAGTTTGACATGCCACCGGAAGCTCGCTACCGAATAGATGACGACCTGGTGATCGAATCTCCGGAGGGGGAAAGGTGGAAAGTGGAAATTGTGTCTCCGTACACGGACTGGTGTCGTCGGTGCACGTGGTACTATCACACGGAGGAAAGTTGCCCCCGCCATCAAGCTGACGAAGGTCGTAGGGTCAATGGCGTGCGACAGGGAGGGGCCCGGAGGGCACAAAGCACGATTTCGGGAGTTCATCCAAAGTCAAGGGAGTCCATCTGGAGGGGTAGCTGGAGGAGGGGAGGAAATCGTCCGGTCTCAGAGGCCGGCCCCGCAGGCCTCGCGGAGGGACACGCCGATGCAGAGCACTCAGTTACATCAACGGGATAACCAGCACCAACCAAGCCTGAATAGCGCAGGCCAAATGCACCACCAACACCAGGCACATGCGCAACAGTCCCAAGGGGAGTACAATAGGGAATGCAACAGAGAGAAGCCTCAAGGTGCCCAAGCAGAGTACCAACACATCCTAGAGGAGGAGATAACGGCCCCTGCAGGCAGGAACCAGTCAGACAAAGCTCTGAGGGGTTGAGAGCAACTCTCGACTGGGGCAACGAGCAAACATGGAGGAATGACCAGGCAAGGGGACAATACACTTCCACCCTGCCACCTTGGCAACCGAGAGAGGACTGGCCAGGGGGGAATGGGTGCTACTCACATTGAGAAACTCCACTGAACAGAGGAGCGTTGGACCCTCCCCCCCTTCCCCCACCCCCAAGCTGGCAGGACTTCCAGACACACCAAGCACTGCCAGACGAAGGCGTCTTTTACCAACAGCAACAACAATTGCAGCCAGGTCACCCCCGAAGCATCGGGTACGAGGCCAGTCTCAACCAGGTGGTGTATCCCCAATCAAGCTACCCCTCAGATTACTATGACTGGAGACACCCGGCGTCCCCACCTCCCGAAAGAAATACACAGATACCGGAGGGAACAAGATGGGACGGGAGTGGCTCGTCAATGAGAAGAAGGCAGAATAACTCCTCCTCCCGCTGGTGTCCGTGGAACGAGGATAATTGGAGGCAAAAAGGAGTTAGTACCAAATCCTGGAGGCTGGGACCAAACCACCACTGCACCCCAGTTAAAGAGGAGGAGGAGGTACCCGAAGGGGGGGAAGGTCTAGAGCAGTGCTGTACCACCGGTCACCGTTCATGGGGTCGGTGGACGGTCATGGAGTTCACCCTGTTCATGATACAGGAGTTCATGGAGTTCACGGAGAGCGGTTTTTTTTTTTTTTTTTTTTTTTTTTTTGGCTGGGGGGGTATGTTTTTTTTTTATAGGAAGGTGGGAGACATCGAAGGGTAACTCCCTATAATTTTTTCAAAATTTTGTTTTTATGAATAATATTTGTTTTAACTAAAAATGAAAAAAAAAAAACAACCAGCCAAAATAAACATTTTCGTTTGCTATTTTGTAGGTCATTTCGATTTTTTTTTATTTTTTCAATGTCATCACGCTGTGAAGCTTGAGGCGAATGTACCTGGGGGAGCCCAAAAAAAAAAAACAAAAAAAAAACACCACTCTTTAGTGGTCGGCCCATTCACAAAAAAAAACACCACATGAACGGCCGGTCACGTTCATGTGACCGGTTTCGGTCACGGTCACAGGTACGACACTGGTCTAAAGCCTATAGATGTACAGCAGAATGTCGCAAGGCTGCGGGGCGAATTATCCAAAACCTCGATCACCTCCCAATCGAGAGTGAGGTGGGGCAGCAAGTGTGAGGAGATCAACCGCGACGAATCAAGGAAGTCGGACTTCTCATTGGTAGAGAGCTCGGCAAGTTCGGGCCGCAAACCGGGAAACGAGGCTAGAAGACCGCCTGACAAGGACCGGAGGGCGGTAGCTGTTGAACAAAACCACATGGAATCCGTTCAAAGAAGACTGGTCCCTATCCTATGCGCTCACTCGGACAATGGCGTATTTTTTCTGGCGACAACAGATGTGGAGGGACAACCGATTTTGCCTTCAGCTGAAGTAGATTGCTCCCCCTCACTGTCTCGCATCCAGGAAGTCACCAGAAGACTATATGGGGAGCATATGGGGAGCATGTACCAGTTAGACTCATCCCACATTCCACCATGGCCAGCATCATTGTGGAAACAGTGGAGGGATACAGGAAGATGTACTTCCCCCTCCTGGACGTGCGTATACCCCCGGAGATGGTGGAGGTGTTGTCTCAGGCCGGTATTCACTGGTACCACAGGAGCCTGATTCACGACGAGCATGTCACGGAGCTCAGCGCCATTTGCATTCTCCCCGGGGTATCTGCAGCGGCCCTGCTCACGGTGAACGAGAAATTGCTCCGAGAAGAAGACTTCCATTTTGCATTTTTGGCAATGAGACTGACGGAGGAATGGAGGTCTGCCTCTCAAGTCAGCTCATCTAGAGCCAGCTCGCGGAATAGGAAGTCGAGTTGTTCGGACCGCAGACTGGCACAACCTGCTACTCAAACTAATCCCCGCATCCAAATCAACGTGGAAGCAACACTTGTAGATGGATAAATTGAGACTGGTTACCTGGGATTTTCGAGGTCTGGGAGACACGAATGGTAGAGATAAGAGGAGGCATCTGAAGACATGGCTGCATGATTGCAGAGCAAACTGTATTATGTTACAGGAAACGAAATTGAATGACGGAAAGATCAAAGAGATGGCTTCTTGCTGGGAAGGCCCACCGATATGGGCCCCAACGCAGGGAACTAGAGGCGGAGTTTGTATCCTGCTGCACCGGGATCTGCAAGCCACCGTGATAGATTGAGAAGTAGACATCTGGGGGAGATGGGCGTGGATGAAAATTTTGGTGGCGAATGAAGAGTGGTTGTTCATGTCAGTTTACGCTCCGACGGAGGCAGGGGAGAGGTCTCGTTTTTTCTCAAGATTGATGTTGCACATCCCACCGGTCGAGCGACTAGTTCTAGGAGGGGACTGAAACCTATCCCTAGACGATGCTCTGAGTAGCGGATCCTCGTATGCGGACAGAAGGGATGTGAAATCACTGCTGGAACTGTGCACAGAACTCGAAGTGGTGGACCCATTTCCAATTCTGAACCCGGGTGTCCCGGGGTACACTTGGTTCTCAAACCTCTTCAGGGACAGACGATCTATAACAAGAAGACGCCTGGATTGTTTTCTAGTAAGTGAACAAATCAGGGAGCAGGTCACAGTGGTGATACTGGGATGCAGCCCTCTCTCCGATCACAAGCCGGTGATTTCATACATCCGGCTAACATCAGACTCCTCGAGGGGGGGAGGCTTCTTCCGCATCAACAGCCAAGTGTTGGAAGAGCCGGGGGTGAGTGAGTGGGTCACACAGCATATGCAGAGCTAGAAGCGGACGCGGGGCCATTTCGAGTCCACAACAGACTGGTTAGACGGCGGCATTGCCATTGCGTCAGGCGGAATGGACGTCATCTCAAGAATCTTGGCAAAGGAGAGAAACAAAAACGAGGCGGTGTGTAGTCGGAGGGTGGAGGAAGCGGAAGAGAGCATGGAGGGTCATCCCATCTCAGTGATGGTTTGGGCGGCGGAGAGGAAAGACGCATGAGGGAATGGGACGACCTTCAAGAGGAGAAGCAGAAGAGGTGGTCTGACATTCTGAGGGTGAAGGGGATCGAGTTCAACGACAAAATGACTAAGGAGACATTCCGGAGACTACAATCACACAGGAGCCGTTTGCAGATGGTGGAACTCAAGCATCCTTTCGATCACGCAGCCCCTCCAGCTAGTTCGGCTACCGGAATGCTCCACTACGCAAGACTATACTACGAGGACGTCCTGACAACGAGAAGGTCAAATGAGGCAGCGGACTACGACCTAGCTCAGACATTGGACATGTGGAACGACACCACGGTAAAGCTGCAAACACCCGCAAGGTTGGACTTGGACCGACCACTTACTCTAGAAGAAACAACTCAAACACTCAAATCGATGGCAAAGGGAAAATCCCCTAGTGTGGATGGTCTTACGGTGGAGTTCTACTCCGCTAACTGCGCTGCTGTCAGGCCCAAGTTAGTGGAATTGTATAACGAAGTCTTGGCAGGGGGCAAATTGAAGAAGGGGATGACACATGGTGACATGGGGTGATCTCCGTTCTATTCAAGAAAGGAGACAAAGCGGAAGTCCGCAATTGGCGCCAAATTTCTCTGTTGAATGTGTCATACAAAATTCTGGCAAAATCACTGGCGCGCAGGCTCGCAAAGCACCTATCGGGGTTAGTGGAAGGAGACCAGGGAGCGTTCGTGAGAGGAAGATTTATCTTCAACAATATTGTGACTTCTATGGAGACATTGGAAGTAGTGCAGAATGAGGGACAAGACATGGCAATCCTTCTCCTTGACTTGCAGAAGGCGTACGACAAGGTGGGGTGGCCATTCGTCTTCACCACTCTGAGGAGGATGGGTTTTGGGGAAGGATTATGTGCGTGGATCAAAGCCATGTACTGTTTCTCCACGTCAGCAATCATGATAAACGGAAACCTGTCACAATCGTTCCTCCTCTCAAGGTCGCTGCGCCAAGGCTGCCCGCTGGCGCCGCTCGTGTTTGTTTTGCAGTTGGAGGTTTTATTGAACAGGATCCGCAGACACCCAGACATAAGGGGCCTGCAACTTCACACCGGGGAGGTGTGCAAAGTCAAGGCTCTAGCGGACGACCTGTTCGGGATATGTGAGAACACAGCGCCTTCGTTGTCTGCCCTGAAACAAGTCTTGTGTGAGTACTGTATGTTGTCAGAAGCAACGATAAAGTGGAACAAATCTACGTATATGCTTCCTACCCAGTTTGTTCTAAAAGTAGAATGGGGCATGAAAAGGGTGGCTGCAGGGGAGGAGGAGAGGTTTTGGGGTGTTCTAATTAGCTTGCAAATTGATGGGTCGGCACAGGGATTGGTGCTGCAGCAACGGATTGCATCCAAATTGAGGATGGAGGGCAATACCTGACACTTGTCTCTGATAGGTAGAGCTTTGGTGGCTAATGTGGCCCTGCTTTCGATTTTGTGGTTCGTGACCACAGTAACGGAGCTTGCGGAAGGGATAGTCAGGGCAGTTAGGAGACTAATCGCACAGTTCATTTGGAAACCACGTGCTCAGAGCACGGATGGTTTCCTATCAAAAGTAGCCTTTGACACTCTCACATTTCCAAGGTCACAACGGGGTCTTGGTCTGTTGGACCCAGCCAGGAGGAGCCAAGCAGAATTGAGAAACTCGCTAGTCAAAGTAAGCAACTTGGGAACCGGGGAACACTGGGTTTCAATTGCTGAACAAATCCTTATGAGAGAATGAGAACTATGAGACCCCAGGACGTCTGGGCCTGCTTCTTCATACCCTCCTTTCGGAAGAAGAGGCTGAAATCAGGTTTCTGGGAACCCATCAGGCGGGCGTGGCACCGCCTCCCTCCGGAC